TAAACGGGCACCGCAAATAACTCGTCAGGGACGGCCCCAATCGAAAAAACTGTAGAGATCAAAGTTGTAGGATATCGAGGGGGAAGTCAGATGATGACCTTGGATTTGACCTTGAACGAGATTTTCAAGATTATTTGAAGGTCAACTTGGAGTTTTTTAATAGGAACCCTACTTTTTTTTGCGAAAAACAAAAGAGCGGGAAATTGTACGTTCTAAATGGTATGTTTGTTTGCGGTACCGGAGGTCATTTCAAGGTCATGCAGCCAGTTTTAAACGCCACCAGCAGAAGTCCTCTGGCAGGACTCCAATCAAAAAAAGGTAATGACCAAAGTTGTAGGATATCGAGGGGAAAGTCTGATAGTGATCTTGAATTTGACATAGTCTATTAAGGTCATTTCAAAGTAAATTTTTTGTTTACTTGCGAAAATAGGATGTCTTCTCATATTAGTTAAATTCATTAGCTTCATAACAATAAAAAGATATGTTTACGTAGACGAGCTTAACGATCCTAAAAAAACTTACAAAGGAGTTCCTCAAGGAGGAGTGTTAAGTCCACTTTTATACATTATTTATGTAGCTGACATCATTAAAAATATTTCGAACAGAGTCTCGATTTCTTAATTGGCAGATGATATTGCTTCATATTCGAGTAATCTAAAGTCACTACAAAAAGCAATAAAAATAGTAAAAAACAATCTTGCCGACATAGACATACGAGGGTGGTCCGATAAGTACTTAGCCTCACCGCCCGATGGCGCCACTCTCGCAAAAGAAATATTCTATCACGTCGTACAACCTTCTCGATGATTACTGTCAAGATTTCAGCCAGATCGGAGTTGTAGTTTATTTTTGAGAGCGTGTTAAAGCAAGTGTGTCCGTTGATTTTTGAAAAATGGAAAAAGAGCGGTATCGGTCGGTGATTCGATTCTTGTTTTTGGAAGGGAAATCGCGCAGCGAAATCAAAAAGCGCTTGGATGCTGTGTACGGTGACTCTTCTCCTTCGATGGCGACCGTCAAAAATTGGTTTAACGAGTTTCAACGTGGTCACACATCGATTTTTGAAGAGCCACGTCCAGGTGCTCCGAAAACGGCTACCACGGAGGATAACGTGACAAAAATTCACGATCTCGTATTGGCACATCGACGATTGAAGGTGCGCGAGATAGCTAAGATCGTAGGCATCTCAAAAGACCGCGTGGGTCATGTCTGCATGAAATTTTGGGCATGAGAAAGCTGTCGACGCGATGGGTGCCGCGTTTGCTCACTCCGGAAAACAAGCGCAACCGTGAGACAACTTCAGAGCAATGTCTGACGCTGTTTAAGCGCAATCCGATATTTATGTTAAATATATTTTTTAGTTTATGGAGTTTCTGCGTAGTTTCGTGACAGTCGACGAAACATGGATCTACTGGTATACACCAGAGACCAAGGAACAGTCGAAACAGTGAACTTTACCCGTCGAAAGTGCTCCGAAGAAGGCGAAGACTGCCCCATCGGCCAGAAAGGTGATGGCCACCATTTTCTGAGATTCACAAGGTGTGATCTACATCGACTACCTGGAGAGGGGCAAAACGATCACAGGGCTGTACTATGCCGAATTATTGGGCCGATTCGACGTCGAATTGCAGAAAAAACGGCCCTATTTGGCGAAGAAAAAAGTGCTCTTCCACCATGACAACGCACCGGCTCACACCTTCGCCGTCGCCATGGCCAAATTGGTCGAATTAGGCTACGAACTGCTGCCCCATCCACCGTATTCTCCAGATTTAGCCCCGTGAGACTTCTTTTTGTTTCCAAACTTGAAAAAGTCACTCGCCGGGCAGAAATTTGAGTCGAATGAGGAGGTAATCGCTGCCACGGAAGCCTACTTTTCAGACCTCGAGGAGACGTATTTTTCAGACGGGTTAAAGAAGTTGGAGCATCGCTGGGACAAGTGTATTGAACTAAAAGAAGACTATGTTGAAAAATAAAACGCCACTTTTCCAAAATTTTCGTTTTTCTTTTGTAGGCTAAGTACTTATCGGACCACCCTCGTATTCTTAGCCTCTGAAAAGACCGTTTTCTTGCATTTCAATAAACACGATATAAAACCCGGTAAGACAGAACTTCAAGTGGGTGAATTAATAACCAAATCCAGCGAATTTACCAGATTCCTTGGAATAATATTTAATTACCAACTTTCATTTATCCCTCAAATAAATAAAGTTAAATCACGTTGTGACAGACCATCTAATATAATCAAGTATCTACAAGGAATCTGGTGGCAATCGGACCCATTCACTCTACTTAACCTTTATAAAAGTTATGTGATGTCTATCCTGGATTATGGCATTATTATCCTATCCTACGCGGAAGAGTCAACAAAAAAAGCTAGAAGGTATATACAATACAAAGCTATAAGACTAGCACTGGGATTTTGTAAAACAACATCAACCAAAATTTTATTAGCTGAGTCCAAATTACCGTCTATTCATGAGAGGGCTAGATTTTTAGGCAATACGTACGTTTCCAAAATTCTATCGAACGAAAGTTTACTCGTGAATAAAACCACTAAAAAGTATTACGCTTTAACTAAAAAGAGCAAAAGGAAAAAGAAACATCTATTTGAAACGTGCATTCATAACATATCTTGTTCAGTTGAAAATATAATAAAATCACAGAATACAAAATTATAACATGTATGCATATAGTTATGACGTAATCTCTACCTCTGTACCTTTCACGAGGCTCGATAATCAACATAGAAATTCAAGTGAAATGTGCGATGAATTAGATTCTCCTTTTACCAATGTGTTTTATACAGACGGAAGCAAAAGCCCAATCTCTCTGTCGACCTGGTCGGTTTGTGTAAAGTCAAAGAAAAATGTTGTAATCAAAAGAAGTCTATCGAAAAAAAAATGTCCGTTTTCACAGCAAAATGTATCGCGGTAAGGGACGCTCTAAACTTAGCGGTTAACAACGTTAATGTCTATAACTGCATTTTGTGTGATTCTCTGAGAGTACTTGAAAGCCTACAAAGGCCTCTTCACAACATCAAAGCCAATTTCTATCTATATGAAATTAAACGTAAATATTTAGAATTTCAACAAAGAAAAAATGAAAATGGAGATTTCCAACTCTATTGGATTTCTTGGCACTCAGCAATCCCAGAAATCGAAGTCGCTGACACGCAAGCTAAATTAGCGGCGAACTGCAAAGCCTACAGATTTAGATTAACTTCCATATACAGATTTGGCGGAAAAGTTCAAAAACGTGATATGTATCGTAATACAAACGATGTACTCCTTAATGCAGATCCTGACAAGGGAAAAACTTATTTTGATGAATTCTATACTGACTCAAGAAAGCCGTGGTTTTATAAAAAAAGGATATTGAGAGACCGTGTTCTTATAACTCTCAAGACATAGATCACATATTATGGCATTGTCTCTTATTTATAGATCCGAGAGTTATAATGAACAAGCAACTAGTAGGATTGAATTTACAACCACCGCTCAGTATAAACATCCTAATAAAAGAATCCAATATTACAGTGTGCACCTACATACGTACTTAACTTTTTGAAAAATTGTTCCCTGCGCATCTAGTATAAGGCTCAACGTGATCATAACTGTTCCATCCCAAAGATCAAAGTCATATACTCATGTATATTATGTATCAGTGAATACTATTTCTTTTATTGTACTTTTTTTTCCTTATTGTATTATTTATATTATAATAAATCTGTATATGATGTGAAAGTTTAAATATAAAAAAAAAACTGTTTTTAATCTACAAACGATATAGAAACTAGCTGCGTTAGCAGATTTTGGATCCATTTTAGGCCTACTTTTCCTGCAGGATAACCGTGTCCGACTTACTTTTTTTTCAAAAATATTCTCACCTTTCTCACTCTTCTCGTCTCCCTTTAATTTCACTCCCAGCTTAACATCTAAGATAAGAGGCATTCTTTTGTAGACATTCTTTTGTATGTAATGATTCTTAAGTAACTTTTTGCGTGGGAAAAGCACCGTACACGTTCTACTCTCTAATAATTATTAATAAATAATAAGATAATTATTAATAAATTGAAGTGTCAAAATTAGAAGATATTCCTCATAGTATCTAGTTTTCAATAATCTTTACCTAAAATCAATATGTACTTTTATTAATTTAGAAAAAATTGAAACTTCAAAAGTTAAGAAATGCGTAATTTCAAGGGATGAAATTCTGTTACGAATTGTCAAAAATGACAATGTTTTCAATACAATATTGCTATAAAAGATCCTAAAAATGTATGTATTAATTTTGAGATGATAATATTCATAAGAAAAAATATAATAAAGATTTAATAGAACAATATAATACGGTGATATCAGTTTTTAACAACAATATTGTTCATGACTTATGAAAACATATCGCTATCTATTTTTTAACACACTTATGTATTCACGAAGTACTAATTTTGATTTCTTCAAAATTTTGTGAATCTACAGAGGCTTTCTATATAAATTTTCTTATAATTTAATTGAAAATTCATACAGAAAGGCATTACACTGTACATACACATAGATGTTTCAATAAATCGTTTATAATTTTTCTTATGAATATTATTATCTCAAAATTGATGCATAAATTTTTAGTAACATCTATAACAATATAGTAAAAAGTAGAAAAATTTTCACTTTCGACAATTCGTAACAGCGTTTTATCTATAAAAGTTTCGCATTTCTTAACTTATGAGATTTTTATTTTTTCTGAATAAACGAAAGTACATATTGATTTTCGGTAAAGATTTTAGAGAACTAGATACTATGCAAAATATCTTCAAATTTTCTTACGAGAGAATAGCGAGTAAAGAACATACACAACGCTTTTTTCACGTATAAATTAGTTTGAAAACCCTTACATATAGAGATCGTCCCAAAAGTAAATGAATTGTACCCTACTAAATATTAATTAAAAAAAATAATGTATTACTTTTATTGAGCCAACATATTCTAAGGAGATTATATTTACAGGAGGCAGCCGTCCGTCTAGTAGACCAGCTAGTAGACCAGCTAGCAGACCAGCCAGTAGACCACCAAGTAAGCCTTCAAGTCGATACGGTTCAAATCAATCTCTTGATAGTACTGGTGAGTTTCATTGATTACACAAATCTACAAGATTTTATCGCAACAATATCAGTAACGTATCCCGAAGCGTTTTGATGTGCTGAATCTAAAATCTGTCCTAGAATTACGCTGTCGAATTAGTTTTTGAGATATTCTTACCTAAATGTGCAAAAAGGACAGTTTTTCGTTCTTTTCAAGGATGCATTTAAACGCGAATGATTTTTTTTTAATTTACTGACTACCGGAAAGTAACACTCTTATTCTTCAATACATTTCTTTCAAATCGGAAATATCATTCTTTTCCTCGATGTATAATTAATCGAAGCTGGGTATTTTAAGAATTTCTTTACAACTTTAAAATGCGATCAGCTTATAAAATGCGCCGTTACCTTCTATTGGTATGTATAATATTGAACCCCTACATTCTAATTTCCTTAACCCTTAAAAATGCAACTCGAACGGAGTAAGATCAGCATGATTCGAACGTGTACAGTGCCGATCCTACTTCTTGTGATTACTCTTGATGAAAGAGCGGATCGTGGCCTTCAGGGACTACTAATCTTTTCCATAGAATAGGCCATAGACCGGCCTATTTTATGCAACGTATTCCGCATCGCTCTAGTTGTTCATCCATGACCTTATTCTTGAATTCCGTTCGTTATCAGAAAGTAACACTTCTGCCGTGTTAAATATCATCACGATCCGCTCGTGGAGTTTTTTGAGTGTTACTTTTATATTCACCTTTACGATTCGAACGCACTCTATCAGTCAAATGAACAGATTTTAAACTAGAAGAATTATTTCACACTTCTGAATATTTCGAGGGAACAAGTCAGCAATATCGCTCGTGAACATTTGCCAGGTTTGTGCAACAAGGCCCGAATGGTGCGTTCGACTAATCTTCCTTTACACTACTGGCAACCATACATTGTCGAACAAACTCCTACTATTCCATAACTCCGAATCCTTACACCCTAAATCCTTATACTTTAACTTGAGGCTCAGAAATCTTTCTTCCTTATAATTCCAGAGCACAAAACCTTACCAGTTTTATACACTAGGCACTTACACCCCGTTTTCTCAACTCCTGTGCTTGGAACTCTGCTACCTCATAATTTCAAACCCGTAAATATTAATTTTTCTAATCCTTTAGATCGAAAACCTGCAACTTTATTACTACAAACTTGTATATGCTAACTGTCGTAACACTGGAGCCCGAATAAATAATCTTTTATTCCTCGTTTATTTTCCAGTACTCCTTTTTTATCAACATTCCTTTTCAGAATAGTAAGAGATTCAATTGTAGTGTATTATTTCAGTAGAATTTTCTTAGCAGTTCTTTTTAGAATAGCTTGGAATTCTTCTAGTTGGAGATTCTAACTGATAAATTGATTGTATTTTGACACCCTAAAAAAATTGTCAAAAATCTGATATGATAGCGTAATTTAGGACCGGATTCGGAACATCAAAAAGTTTTGGGATATGTTACTGACATTCGTGCGATAAACAAAAACCTTTATTTTGTAGAACTGTGTTATATTTTCTTTTTCCAAAAATAAAATTTGGTAACTTTATTTTTATTATTTTAAATTACAGATGATTTAAGTACGCCAAGCCGCATTCCGCGAAGAACTAGTGGAAGCACACCTACTTCTAGTCGTCATAATAGTCTATCAGGCAAAAAGTTGTTCTCCCAGCAGCAACATACTAATGTGAATCTCTCTTCGGCGCTTAATGGCTCATCGTCAAGACCACGCACACCTAGTGGTATATTCGGGTCAACTTCAAACTCAGGGTCGACTTTTACCGCTAGGTATGGAGTTATGATTTTCTTGTTGATTTCCATCAATATTTAATATTGTTATTTATTTCAATACTATTATAGATTTTTGAATTCCTAGTTAAATATTATATTCAAAATATTCAACATAAATACAAGCACTATAATTATTTCATAACTTGCTAATTCATAAATTGATTCCAATGAATTTATCTAAAACTAACAAGGAGTAAATCGTATATTTTATAATATACGATATATTTTATAATATCATCAAAAGAAAGTTGAAATTAAATCATTTCTATACGAAAAAAAAATTATTGGAAAAAGATGAACTGTTTTGAAAAGTTCTTTTATTTTCAATTTTCGACTATATTGATAATAAAATTCTTTTTTCGAAAAATTAATATATTAATAACAATTTGTTGTCTCATAACTTCTCAACGAATTAATAAATTTTCTTCTCTATCAATAGGATTTTATCTTAGTTTTACTTTGATAATATTATGATAATTTTTTTCATTTATTTATTTAAAAGTCGAGTCTAAAAAAAGTTTATTTAGTTATTACATAGCTGTTAGACAGTTTAATCGATTTTTATTGTAACATGTATAATTTTTTATTTGAATGGATTGATCATTTTTTAGATTTATTTCTTGGAGGCATATTATATCTAAGTGTTGTTCAGCTATTAGTTCTTGTAGAAATTCATACTGACCTCTAAAACTATTTATATTCCACCGGAGGAAGTTCGCCATTTTTGTAATTTTGTTGTTGATGTTGTTGTTCTTTACATGTCTTCGGTATCAGAGTTTCCAGGAGTTGGTAATGGTGTAATTACTGTATTTGGATTTTTGAGGCATTTTAATAGTGATGTACAGCGAATTTTTATACTTCTGCTATTAACTGCTGTATATATTTCCGTTTCGATAAATAATCTTAGTTCATTGAAATCTTATGTGTATTGTTTTATTATATCTATTGGATTTTTAACTTCTTTTATATTATCCAAGAAACTTTTGAATTAAATGTAGTTTAGAGGATTACCTGGTTTGTCTAATTTATTTTTTATAGATTTTAGGTTTTCGTCCATTTCGTCATGCTTTAATTAAATTGTTTCCACTGTTTGAGTTTGGCTATTAGAACTACTGGCTTGTAAATCTTTTTTAATTTGTTTGAAATGATTTTTAGTTTTTTTTTATTTGTTGTTTAGTTACGCTTGTTTCATGTTGAGAATCTGTCGATCTAATTTGAGAGTGTGTTCTTTTGTAGTTAGCTATATTTTCCATAAATGTTTCGTTTAGTATATGAGTTATGACAGTATCGTCAATAGTTTCATCGCTTGGAATTTGCGGATTATCGTTTATGTTTACATTTGAACTATTAAGAGTCTTACAGTCTTTGACTAAGTGGCCTTCTACGTTACAATTAAAACATTTAAGGAAATCAGTACTTGTATAGATAAAGTAATTTATTTCTTCATACAAAATTTTGAAAATTTTTGGAATATTTATAATGTCCTCTGGGTTAATATAAACTTGGCGTCTAAAACTTGAAATATGCGAGTATCCTTCTTTTGCAATGGAGGCTTTCAGTTCTGTAACTGGTGAGCCTCTTTTTACATTTAACTGTTCGGGTATATCTTCGAATACATAGTTCGGAATACAAATTGGACCATTTGAGAAAATTACTTTTTTTAATTTACTTATTAATGGTCTAATGATAACTGTTTTAATTTTTATTATTAGAAATTCATGCTTATCTGTGATTTCGTTGACGAGATTCTTGTTGGACAGGTATAAACAGATTCGGTTGTTTGAGATCCTAGATGCTGCAATGATATTAGTTGGTTCCACTATTTCTCCTACTGCACATGCGTAGTCGGTAAAGTTTAAATCGTCCACGCACTCCATAATGAGGCCTTGATTTCTTTTTGGAACAGATTGAGTTACAGCTGCATAACTAGGATTAATTGATTTTTTTGGTTCGAACGTTGGAATTTCATTGTTTTGTGTATCTTTATAACTTTGACTTTTTATTTCCGAAGACATTTTGATGGTGAATGTTTTATCACTCGCGATAGAGCAATAATTGTAAGGGCAATTGCCCTGATTTTGTTATTGTGATTGTACTATATAGCACCGAGAGTTATGAGAAGCGACTTGTAAATACGTCTATTATCTGTCGACTCTCGATAGGAACTGGATAATTTTATGTCGAGTAGAATACAAACTATTTTAATTACAAGATAATCATGTATTTTAACTGTTTGCGTGAAAATAGCCTGTAACTATGAATAAATCGAATATTAATAAGTATAATCGAGATCAAATGATTGCAGCTTATTCCATATTTTGATGGAAAAATGAATTCACCAAAATTGTAACTATGTCTCAATTCACGTCAGTCTCTATTAACACAGAAGAATCATTAATATATTTTTTATTTAACGTAAAAAACGAATTTATTTTTCTAACTAGCAAGACTAGTGTATTATACATGTGACTTAAATATCCCGCTATTCCACAGCATGATATTAGCGCCCGTGTGCAATTGAAAGTGATAATCATGTTGCAATAATAGAATACTTGAGTTGCAAGCATTGTACGACATTTTATAGGTTCGTTTCTCCGTGACTTAAGATTTGCATTAGTTTTGCATCGTTAGTTTAGGGTAGCTACGTTTAGTTTCTAGCGAGTCATAATTAGCATAATAATTTGCTAGCGCTCGTATTCAATGCTATTTGATCATTTGCTTGTGCATCTGTTTACGACGTTGAAAAGTATTAAAATTTTATTAATTAAAAGTATTACATTTTTCTACATTATTAACACTAAATCTAAAATCAAAATAAAATTAAAAGGTTATATATCCAGTTTACGAGAAAAATATAAAAAAACAACTTTTTATGGTATTTTTAAGTTATTATTCGAATGTTATAGAATATAAAAATTGATAACGTGACCTGTCATTCAATCTTTTAACTCAACAGTCTTTTTCAGAGTAGCTGGGGTTGTGTTAAATTTCCAATTTTGAATTTCGATAACATAAGATCTTCTCAATAGACTATTTTATGATATAGTCCAATCAATAAGGACAAAAAACGGTCATTTTTGACGAAAATTCAGATATGGAAAAACTCGACGGAAATATATCAGAAATATTGTAATTAGATGCCCTATATAACATGTAACTCGAAATTTTATTTTTTATTAGTTTAGAAGTCTGTAAGCCGCGGTTTTTTTAATAAAAAACAATAAAAAATGGTTAGATAAAAATTGTAGAAAAATTCAAAAGCTACATTTTAAGCTATTGTATGATAATTTTCATTCATTAGTTATTACAAAAAATACCAATAATTGTCGAAGTGGCCATTTTTAAGATATCAAATATTTATTGCAACATTGATATTTTTTTATTTTTTCTGCTGTTAAGAGAAAGCTCTTACAATTCTACGAGGTGTGTTCAAAAAATACCCGGAATTTTTAAATTTCGCGGGTCTGGAGAGTCCGATTGTCAAAATTTTTTTTTATTGAGTTGGTATACATGCCCCTGAAGTATGATAAACTTTTCAGCTATATTCACTGTTTACTTTGTCTGCGGTAGCCGCTAAAATTTGACGTGTTTTTATGAGCTCGGCGATTTTCGTTTTTTAAAAGAAATGGATCAAAGAATTTGTATTAAATTTTGCGTAAAAAATGAAATAAAGTGTAACACAGTGTGTGAAATGTTACAAAAAGCCTATGGTGAGTCTGCTATGAAAAAAACAAATGCTTACGAGTGGTATAAGCGTTTCCAAGATGTCCGCGAAGACGTTGAAGATGACGAACGCTCCGGTCGACCCAGCACGTCAACAATCGATGAAAATGTGAAAAAAGTGGAAAAAATGGTTCTGAATGATCACCGAATCACAATTAGAGAAGTTGCTGATGAAGTTGGCATATCAATTGGCTCATGTCATAACATTTTTTCAAATGTTTTGGGCATGAAACGGGTGGCAGCAAAATTTATTCCCAAACTGCTGAACTTTAACCAAAAAAACAATCGCATGAACATCGCTCAGGAGCTGTTAAACGACGTCAACGACGATCCAAGTTTGCTTGAAAGGGTCATAACTGGTGATGAAACATGGGTGTACGGTTATTATGTCGAAACCAAAGCACAATCGTCCACCTGGAAGCATTCAACGTCACCAAGAGCGAAAAAAGCACGTCAAGTTCGATAAAATGTGAAGGTTTTGCTTACAGTTTTCTTTGACTGCAGGGGCGTGGTGCATCATGAGTTCTTATCGCAAGGACGTACGGTTAATAAGGAGTATTACCTTGAAGTTATGCGACGTTTGCGTGAAGCAATCCGAAAAAGACGCCCCGATTTATGGAAAAACAATTCATGGCTTTTGCATCACGATAATGCCCCTGCTCACTCATCTTTGCTTGTGAGAGATTTTTTGGCCAAAAACAACACCACAATCATGCCTCAGCCACCATATTCACCGGATTTGGCCCCATGTGACTTTTTCTTGTTCCCAAAACTAAAGAGACCTATGAAAGGACGGAGATTTGCAACGATTGAAGAGATAAAGACTGCATCGCTGGAAGAGCTCAAGGCTATACCGAAAAGTGCTTATGAGAAGTGCTTTGAGGATTGGAAAAACCGTTGGCATAAGTGTATTGTATCTGAGAGGGATTACTTTAAAGGGGACAACATAAATATTGATAAATAAATAAATATTTTTTCTTAAAAATACAAAGTCACCTTACTTTTTGAACACACCTCGTATATTTGAAATTAAAAAAAATTTCGTTTGTTTTGTTAAAGATAGGACTAAATATGTTTTTCAAGTAAAATAGGGATATCAAAACTCCGGTCTTTTTATAATTTAAATGATAAACAATAAAATATTGTATAATAAAATATCCCTTAAAAAACTTTTCAAAGTGGCATATCTTACTGTAATACTAAGACTCTCAAGCTTGTTTTTGATACATTTCTCCAGCTCTTCTTATGACATTTTTGAGCAGTACCTTGCCAGG